CCTTTGCAGTCACAGCAGAGCCTCCGTTTATAAATGGGTGACACGAGGTGACAGCCACCCTCTCTGCAGAGCCCCGGCCGCTCGGTGTCTGAAAGCCAGCCCCTGCCCCGCCTCTGCGCCGAGGTTCTGAGTGGCAGGGCCTGGGGCAGCCGAGTGGGGTGCTTAAGGGACCTGTCAGGAAGGTGGCTTTCCCTTCTCACTCCAGCAACTCAGAGGTTTGCGCCTGGACTTTGGGGGTTAGGAGCGGGGAGGATCGGCAGCCCGCTCACGGCAGCACTCGAGCCTGTTCTTAGGGCCTGAAGAGACTCTTCAGTCTGTTTTGCACACACGTTGAATCTGCGTGCCTTTAGGTGGGGCGCCCTCCTGCCTGCATTGGGCTGCAGGCCCTGCCATCCCTTCTGTCTCACACGGAGCCCAGGTCACGCATTAATGCTGCTTTCCAGGATCGATCTTGTTAAAAATGAAACCCTCAGCTTCAAACCGAGCTTTCCGGGCGGCAGGCTGATCCCTTCCTTCTCTGCCTGCAGGCCATGGAAGATGCCCACGTGGACGCCATCCTCACGCTGGGGAAGGCCTTTGCCTCTCAGGAGCCCTTTGACTTTGGCACCCAGAGCACCACCGAGGAGATCCACAACCTGATTCCCATCATGCTGAAGCACCGGCTCATCCCGCCCCCCGAGGAGACCTACTCGCTGCACAGGAAGATGGGGGGCTCCTTCCTCATCTGCTCCAAGCTGAAGGCCAAGATCCCCTGCAAGGACATGTTCGAGGAGGCCTACAGCGGCTACTGCAAGAGGCGGGACGGGCAGTAGCACTCGGCCACGGAACCAGCAGGAAGCTGGTGGGGGCGGCGCTCCATTTAAACTCCTTTGCCCGCGGGGAGGGTGGCGGGCTCTGACCGGGACGCTGCTGGAGCCCCATTGCCAGCGCTTATCAGGGTTTTTATGGCTAAGAGGGTGCGGAGTGAGGTGTGCACGAATGAGAATGAAACCCCAGCTCCTCTCTCAGAATCTAACAGTTGTTTATTGAGCCTCTGAAATCCTCTAGATAAAGATAAAAAGGCAATTTTATTTCCTCTTAGTAACAGGGGTTTTACCTAATGTGAGTGTTAACCAGAAGGCGAGAATCCCTGCCACCAGGAAGAAAATAGAGAACCCCTTTCGGCTGCTGTTGAACATGAGTTATAAGGTGTGTGTGTGTTTTCTGCCCTTTTCCTCTCCAGCTTGTGATCGGCATCCGGAGTCGGACGGGAGCAGTGCCCACAAGTACTATTTGCCCGAGAGGCCTGCTCTCTGTCTGGTTGCTGTACTGAGAGAACTGGAAGTTTCTGGAGAATTGCTGCCTCCCATGGGTAGGGTCAGGAGCAGCAGAGGGAGAGAGACAGCTCTGGTCTCGTGGCGCGGGTAAACGATGTGTAGGGGACCCTCCTTCCCCTCCGGGCCCAGGGCCCTGGTGGAGTGATACGAACGTGCAGATGTCACATGGTTAGACCTGGGGTCCTCACAGGCTCTGTTAATTTTTGTAAAATTCTTGTAATTGTCTGATTTACTTGTTTCAATAAAAGCAAAACAGCCCAACCGGCGTGGCGCAGTGGTTGAGCGGCGACCTATGAACGAGGTCATGGCTCCATTCCCGGTCAGGGCACAGGCCCGGGCTGCAGGCTCGATCCCCAGTGTGGGGCGTGCAGGAGGCAGCAGATCAATGATTCTCTCTACTCACTGATGTTCCTCTCTCTCCCTCTCTGAAATCAATAAAAATGTATTTTCAAAAAAAGGCAAACCATCCTACCATTGTGGCATGAGTTCTTTCCCTCCTAACGAGTGAGGAGCCCAAGGTCAGTGCACACCCGCCGCCTCCAGATGTTCCTGCGGCCTGCACATGTGCCCAGTGTGAGGCTTCTGAAAAGTGCCTGAGCCTGGAAGGCTTAGCCCACATTCATCATCAAAGGGGTTCGGGAGGAGAAAGGAAGGGGGGAGGGACAGCTCCGCATCACCACCCCAGCAACTCCCCTGCGCACCCCCAGGGCCCTACCCCACACACAGAAAAGCCACAGCTGCCCAAGAATCTGGAACTCGGCAATGCTGGCAACTGGGAAAGTGGCAGCCAGCAGGGTCTGCGCTCCTGAACCGCAGTGAAACCCACGTGAGAGATCGGCCGCGATGAACTCCCGAAGTGTGGCTTTCCCGGCGGGATGAGTTCCTCGGGAGCAGGAACATTCAGGGGAGGCTCTCTAAACACCGTGACCACCTTGCAAAGTTCTCTCGGGGCTGAAATAACCGGGAGAGACTTGGTCCAAAGTAGGTTCGCACACAGGTCCTAAGGTGCTAAAGGCAAACCTTTGCAAGTTGAGATGGATAAGCAACAGACGCTGGGCTCGGACGGGAAGGCGTGGTCTCCATGGCAGCTGCTGCCCTAGTACCAGCACCACCCGCCAATCCCTTGTCAGCATTTCATCCATCAATTTAAGAATCCCCGTTTTCTTTCATGTGCACATGGAACAGTCTCCAGAATAGAACACATGCTAGGCCACCAAACAAGGTTCAATAAATTCAAGACTGAAGTCTATCAAACATCTTTTGCAACCAGATGGCATGAAACTAGAAACCCACTCAGGAAGAAAACGGGAAAAGAAACAAAGATGTGGAAACTAAACAACATGCTCCTAAACAACCAATGAGGGTCAGGAGGAAATAAAAATCTGTCTCGAAACAAATGAAACACAACTTCTCAGAATGTATAGGACACAGCAAAAGCAGTTCTAAGGGAATTCCAGTTATAAAGGCCGACCTCAAGGAACAAGGAAAATCATAAGCAGCCAAATCAATACGTAAAGGACCTAAAAGAGAACAAAGCTCAAGTAAACAGAAGGAAGGAAATAGTTAAGATCAGAGCAGAAATAAAATTTAAAAATAGAAAAAAAATTACAGTTTAAAAATAAAACTAAGTAAAATTGACAAACCATTAGCTAAACTCATTTAAGAAAGCCCAAATAAAAATATGAAAGAGAAATTACAATTGACACCACAGAAGTACAAAACATCATTAAAGAATACTTATGTGCAATTACATGCAACAAATTCAGCAATCTAGAACAAATGGATACATTTCTAGAAAATTTATGGCTTCCCAAGACTGAACCAAGAAATACAAAATCTGAACAATGATTACTAGTAGTGAAGGTGAAGGTGTAATAAAAAACCTCCAGCCCTGGCTGCGTGGCTCAGCTGATTGACTGGAATGTCCTGTAGACCAAAACCGCTTATGGGAAGCAACCGATTGATGTTTCTCTCTCTCTAAAATAAATTAAAAAAAAATTCTTGGATGAGGATCAAAAAAACACCTCCCAATAAATAAAAGTCCAGGACCAGATGGCTTCACAGGTGAGTTCTATCAAACAATCAAAGAACAATTAATACTTACTCTTCTTAAACTGTTTCAAAAAACGGAAGAGGAAGAAGTGCTTCCAAACTTATTCCACAAAGTCAGCATCACCCTGACACCAAAACCAGAGACATTACAGGAAAAGAGAATTACAAGCCAATATCTGATGAACAGATACAAGAAAACGAACTCTAAAGATTTCACTAAAAAACTATTAGAAAGGATAAATTCAGGATACAAAATTAATATTCAGAAATTGGCTGCAATTAACTATCAGAAAGAGAATTTAAGAGAATCCCATTTACAATTGCATCAAAAAGCATAAAATAACCTATGAAGAAATTTAACCAAAGAGGTGAAAGATCTGTACTCTGAAAACTATAAGACACTTAAGAAAAATTGAAGAAGATACAAATAAATGGAAGGATATATACCATGTTCACAGATTGGAAGAATTAATATTGTTAAAATGTCCTTACTACCTAAAGCAATCTACAGATTTAGTGCAATCCCAATAGCGTTCTCAGCATTAATAACTAATCCTAAAATTTATATGGAACCACAGAAGACCCTGAATAGCCAAAAACAATTTTGAGAACAAAAAGTAGGAGTGCCACGCTTAGTGATATCAAACTATACTAAAGTCTGTATTATTAAAACAGTGTGGTACTGGCATAAAAACATACACAGATCAATGGACTAGGATGGAGACCCCAGAAATGAATCCTTGTGTACACAGTTGATCTATGAAAAAGGAGGCAAGGGTAGTCAAGGGGGAAAGGATAGTCTTCAATGAGTGGTGCTGGGAAAGCAGGACAGATACATGCATAAAAGGGAAAGTGGACCACTTACATCACGTACAAAAATACACGGAAAATGGACTGAAGACTTAAACATAAGGCCTGGAACCAGAGGCTGCTAGAAGAAAATAGGCAGTAAATCTGACATCACTCTTAGCAATATCTTCTTGGATACATCTCCTCAGACAAGGGAAACAAAGTAAAAAATAAGCAAATGGGGCAACTTCAAACTCAAAAGATCTGCACAGTGAAGGAAACCATTAAAACGAACAGATAACCTACAGAATGGGAGAGGGTATTGGCCAATGATACACTGATAAGGGGTCAATATTCAAAATACATAAGGAACTTGTATAACTTAACCAAACAATCCGATTAGAAAGGACAGAGGACCTGAATAGACACTTCTACAAAAAGGACATCAAATGGCCAACAGATGTATGAAAAGGTGCTCAATGTCACTAATCAGGAAAATGCAAATTAAACCACAATGAGATGTCAGTGCATACGTGTCAGCATGGCCGTCACCAAGAAATCAGCAAGTGCTGGTGAGGATGGGAAGAAACCCACCTCAACTGTTGGGACTGTAAACTGATGCAGCTACTAGGGAAACAGTATGAAGATTGTTCAAAAAATCAGAAACAGCTGCCATACCATCAGCAGGTCCACTCCTGGGTACTTATTCAAAGAAATCCAAACACTAACCCACAAAGACACCCACACCCACGCTCACCGCAGCGTTAGTAACAGCCAAGATGGGAGACGCTGGCCGCGCAGGATGCAGGCACTCGGGCTCCGGCCCGCAGAGAGCAGTGAGCTGAGAGCTTCAGGAGAAGGGAACGCGGCTCTCGGCTGAGCTATGGGGACTAAGCACGTCCTGGGCGCCTCCCCACGTCCTTCCACAGCGTAAGGAGGAGCCGGGCGAGCAGGGGCGGTAGGAAGCAGGGCCCGTGAGGCCAGTCGGTCGCCTTTGCTCCGTCCTCAGCCTTTATGATCAGGGAGGAAAGAGCACCTTCCATTCTAACAGCCCGTTTTACTGCGACGCATCCAAGTCTGGTTAATACTGAGTGACTCCAACGTGAGATACTGGCGGGGAGTCTCTCACATTGTCACTGTCCACCTTCAATGTTTCTGTGCAAAAGAATCCACACCCTGTTGGTCCCAGAGCATCTCTTTAACGTTCCCTAAGAGATTGAAAGCATCAAACCAAACAAAATGAAATGAGTGACCAAAGGCCAAAGCAATCGCGTGTCCCCTTCCAGGCACACATATGTGTCAGCATGACACTCCAAACAAGAAACTGGTCACACCTGGGCCATGCAAAACTGTACACGATTACAATGGGAAAACCCTAAAAATGTATAAAACAAGTGGTATCACTCTACACGCCACCAAATAAAAGGGCAGGTCATTGTGTCTTCATGGCATTTCAGGCTTGATTTGTTTTCCCAATTTCCCCCCAGAAATGATAAGGGCTCCTGTGTGCCTGGCTGTCCCTGGGGGACGAGAAGCCCGGCCCAGGGCGGATGCTGGGCTGGGAGCTGGAGCGAGGACTCCAGACATTAAAGTCGGACAAGGAAAGAGGTTTGACCCAGGCAAGGAGATGGCGTGAGGCTTCTCGCTCAGGGGCTGGGCGGGAGGTGGGCGTGAAGTGCCCAGCGGATCTGGTCCGTCAGGTGGGCGGTGAGCTCCCGAGGCCCCGCTGGCTGAGCCCGTGTGGGACGCTGTCAGGGCGGCCCAGGGCCCGCGGTCCGCGTGGTCAGGGTGTCCGCCTCTCCCTGCTCTGGCTCTGCTCTAAGATACCCGTGTCCACAGATGTGCGGCTGGTCTCTCACGGGCAATGGGGCCGCGGTAACAGCAGGACATAATCTAACCACGGGGCGGCTGAGAGCCGCCGGGATGGCAGGCGGCTGTGTGACCGGAAAGGAACTCAGATTCTTGCCTGCAGCGCGGGGA